TTCAAATGTTAAAGATTCATAGAAAATATATCAACATATATAATGTAAAAAAAAAAAAATGTAAGTAAAATTACGGTTTTCTTATATTTTTTTTAGTAATAAATTAAAAAAATAGATATTTAAATTCTATATTTATAAATTAGTAGGTCAACGTCCTATTGGATATATAATGTTTTTTATACGTAGTCAAACATTTAAAAACCTTAAATAGCTGCTCATGTGTATTTATGTCATAGTTTTATTAACTCACTTTTCCTATTCATTACACTGTGAATCCCTTTTATTTATTTTTATTAATTAGATTAATGTGTAACTTTAATTTCTATCCTCTCAAACCACATAAACCACTAAACGAAACGAAACTAAAGCAAACCGTCGCTAAAAATTTGGTTTTGAGTTTAATTTTTCAAATTGCCACTTTAAATTCGGTTTGATTATTGCTTCAAACCGAATCAAACTAACCCTAACTTTTATAGTAAATATCCAATTTTTGATGGTCGACATTTCAAATTCGGTTTGACGAATTTTTAGTCGAAATTGTTGAAATAATTGATATAAATTTAAGATATAATTAAATAGAAAATGTGACGATATATAAATAAATTGTAAAATATAATTTATCCATTGTATGATTATATGATATTTAGATATATCGTGTCAACATGAAGACCACTAGGACTGTCTATTAGGTATGTATTATCTGCTCTTTTTTTTTAGGTTCAGGATGAGATGGCTGTGGGAGGAGTTTAACACCTCTTTCCTCTGCTAAGGCTTCCTTAATAATTTTTTTTTTTTAAAACTTTACGATTCGTTAATAATAAATATAAGTTAAAGTATTATAATATTTTCATAGGATAAAAAATAAAAAATATAGAAAATTGAAATTTTCTATTTGGAGATGATATTAGCGAAATAGATTAGTCTTTTCTGGTAAAAATTGATTCATTATTAAATAGAACGACAAAAGAAATTTTCTGCAATATTATCACTGAATTTTGTTTTTCAGAATTTTGTTATAACTGATAACCACAAAAGATTTTGATGTATCAAACTTTAATAGAGGAACAATCTGTACTAATAGATTCTATTGATAAAAAAAACTTATCCGGACTTGAAGATATGAAGTTTCTACCTATAAGAAACCAATAATCTATCTTGTATTTCGAATTGCCAACAAAGAAGAAATGAAAAATTCACATGAGAACTCCTCAATAACGAGGAATAGATATTAATAAATTAAAGCACACAACCCTACTAAGAGATTAGTAAAAATACTCGAGCTTTATTAACTATTATAAATCTAAAAGATTAAATTCAAGTATTATTCTAAATGAACATAAAATTAAAAAATTATTAAAAAAAATTAAATAAAATAAATAAAAACAATAGAAAGGAGAAAAAAAAAAAACCGCCGTTGATCAAAGAAAACAATTGGCAGCAGTTTGAAAAATAAAATCTAGAGGAACACCAAGAGCGATATGCAAAAGCAGCAAAATTGCATTGCTATGGGCTTGATGTGCTCTCTTAATGTTGTATTTAATTGATGTATGTTGTCAGGCCTAAGGTCCATATGTATATATGATTTAGTACGGTTGGCTGCATGTCAAGCGTAATACAAATTTTGAAAGTCTTAAGCTTGCGGAAGCCTAGTACAGCTGTGACTTAAAAACAAAGGCCTTGACAATATATTTATATTATAAAATTGTGATAATTGAGTTTTTAGATTTGTATTTTTTATTTTATTTTATGTATAATGATGATATCAATAACTAAAATATCTAATTGGACTAAATGAGATTCATATATTTCTATATATCCAATTAGGTGGCCTCACATTTAATCTACGATAAACTTTGCAACATGACAAATTGATAAAATTTATTTTTGCCTAATTGAGAACCCGAGGCCTATAATAGTAACAAGACATTAAAGACTTTAGCATGGAAATTAGACTAAAACTAAATCAATCGGACTAACACACAGTTCAAATTGGTTAAAAAAAAAAGAAATGAAACCCCAAAATTTTCATTTTAGCTCTTTTGAATCCTTTCTGTAGCCGTTATTGCTAGTTATTTACCAATTGAGGTAGGCAAAAGAGCTAGCAAAGATAGTAGACACGGTAATTGCACTAAGAACAGATTCTAAATGAAAAGATGCGTTGATTAACAAACTTTGAGTTTGGCTTCTCCAAATCTTCACTTTCTTGCATTTGCCTACTTGAAGAGAACCATCAGGAGGCTTGAGATTGTGAGAGCAACCAAGGAATTCTCTTCGAATGGACGATTTATTGAAAGAGAGGGAAGAAATCTGAGAAGTAGAAAATAGGGTTAAGGCTTGGGATTCAGCAGAGAAGCTAAGGTCCATTCAGTTGTAATACTGAGAAACAGAGCCAGAGGTTGTTGAAAGGATAGGACGTTAGGAATGAATGAAATGAAGAAGAAAGAAAGGAGGGATAATCCACGTTAGGGCGGTGATAAATGAGGGTTAAATAGGTAATTTCATGATTTTCGCTACGTTGGACAGCCTACGTGAATTAAATATTAGGTCACGTAAGCAGACACATAAGCATATATGGATCCCATTTAGTTTCATTAGACATTATAATCGTCGTCTGAAGACACCAAATTGAAAAATAAAATACAAGTTTAGACACTTAATTGTCACAATTTTCTATTCAGATATTAAAATTGAAAAAAAAAAAAGCCAAATACAGACAGAAAAAAATAATATTATTCCTGTACTATATGAAAAATATGAATAAACTATTAAAAAGACATAAAATTTGGGTTTTGTAACAATTACATTCCAACCCCTCAAACACACCAATTGGAACTTTTTGTCACAAGTAAACCCTAATTTAAAATTGGTAAAAAATAATGAATAAAATATACTAAATGTGGACCCCACAATTCATACTTTAATAAACTTAATCCAAGGAATAAATTGGCCAAATTATTATAAAATATCGGAAACTTGCGAATTGTAATAATTGCACTCTAAAACAACTTTAATTATAAGATATTCCAATTTAAATTTCTATCATAATTGCACCCTGAATTTAAAGTGTCACAAATACCCTGTCACAATTGTACTCTAAATTCAAATGATGTCAATCTTTCTGTCATAATTGCACCATAAATTCAAATATTATCAACCCGATGGATACATTCACTCATGTACTTTATATAAAAAGTTTATGGCACCTTCAACTTTTACTTTAACCTATTGAACATTTTAATTTGTAAAAATAATTCTATGAATACTGAAACTTCTAAAATTGAAAATTAATATTTTAAAAATTATACTAACTACATATTAAGTGAATATCTTGCATATAAATGTCAAAAACACCAAAAAAATGTTATTACCCATATAAAGAGGGATACAATGCTAGCAAAATTCGTAACTTCAACGGCATAATAGATCACTCACAACGTTTGAGGTGCCACAAGATTTTTCCATAAAATACATTGATATATTTATGCATTTGGCTAAATATTATCTCATTTTGATATGTAAACTCTAAATTAGTGGAGAAAAAAGATGCACTCTAAGACAACCTTAATCCCATAGATACCTAAACTTTAAATTATGGCAAATTTATTGAGTAAAAAATAAAAATTGCTAGAGTCCCACATTTGTACATTGGGTTAGTTTAACCCGATGTGTTGAGTAAGTGAAACATTAAGTTTCACTTTAACCAACCATTCATTAATTGTTAATCCTTGTCTCCATCTCTCTCCGTGATGCCTCCACTTCCTCTCTCCTCTCCCACCATGAACCTCATCTATAAAGCTATTATGAAGTATTTTTCTTTATTTCGAGCTTCATCTCCTCTGGATTACTCTTTTTTGCTATTAACCTAAGGGTTTTTGTGCCATCAAAATGAGATAAAATTTGAATTTATGGTGCAATTATACTAGAAAATTTGGTAACTTGAATTTAGGATGCATTAAGTTTGTCATAATATGAATTCAAGGTGCAATTATGACAGTAAGTTCAAATTGCAGCGTTTAGGGATTAAGGTCGTTTTAAGCTGTAATTGCTCCGATCTATAAAGTTTAGGGTATTTTATATGGTTTAACTAATATATTCCTAGGGATAAGTAACTTGACTCAAGTTATGAACAGTTAGTATATTGTATTCACTGACTTTGACTAATTTTGAATTAGGGTATAGTTGTGATAAAAAATTACAATTAGAGTGAATTGGATGTGAAATGTAAATAAGACACAATGTTAAGATTTTTTTATAGAAAAACAATAAAAAATTGGTTTGTGAGTTGTAGTCAAATTAATATATGGAGATATTTATTTTAAAAAACTCACTACGGGATCCTTAACTTATGATTTCATTATCATGCTTGTTATTTCATCTAAAATAGTTTTTTTTTTAACTAAAAATTGAGTAAGAAATTGGTTCCTAAATTATAGTTAAACTTACATTAAGGTCTATAACTTATAATTATTCCCTTATGATTTCCCTTAATATTTTGGTCCCTCTATTTGGGACAAAATGACTAAAAGTATTAATAAAATTATAACTTAGGAATCTGATAAAGGTCCTTAAAAATAAAGGTCCTCATGTGTCAATTTTATTGTACAGGAACCAATTTATATATTTTCCTTATTTTGTATATATATATATGTCCTTAAAATAAAGGTCGCGCGCGAGGCTGTACAAATTTATTTGTTATGCAGGAACGCAATTTATAATATTTAGATTCCTTATTATTTTGTTATATATATATTAGTAGTTATTATATATATAATATATTTTTTTTTCTTTTTTTTTGTTCTGCAAAGTTAAAAAACTAAGTTTGGGCTTTAGTATGCAAACGACAATCGTGTCGTCGGCGTCGCAGTTGCCGTTCTCCAAAGTCCCAACCGTATTTAACCCAGTTTTTTCAACGCCTGATCCCAGCACGTCTCTCTTTTTGTTCAAGAGTTAAAAACTAAGTTTGCTTTTCCTAGTATCAAACGACAACGTGTCGTCCGTCCAGTTGCCGTTCTCCCAAGTCCCAACCGTATTTAACTCCAGTTTTTTCAACGCCGATCCCACCGTCTCTCAGCGCTACTTCTTCTATCTGTCCACCATTGGCGCCGCCTCCTGTTTACAGTGCCACCAAGTATAAGACATCGAACCTCCATAGCTTCTCCACTTTCACTTACTCTCTCTCCTTTTCCTCTGCTTTCCAGTTACACACAGTAACTTCCTCTGTAAATGCTATTTTCTTATTTCTGGTTTCTGGCAACACGGCTACAGCCCAACTGTCGCCGCCGTTAGCTTCTCTATAATCCAAAGGATGGGAATGCAAGCAACTTCACTTCCTGGAACCTTCACCTCCTTCCAATCATGCTTGAACTATCAATCTCAATTCGCCTTATTGAATTTCCCTTCTGTCAGTTTAGTTCAAGCAAAAACAATGTCATGGAGATACAAATTGATATTTTTTCACACAACACAAAAGACCCTAATCCTCAAAGCTCGCTCAATCCACCACGTTTCTTCATCATCAACGGTATGTTCTAACCATTTTTTTCCTCGAGAAAATCATAAAGTCGCTCTGTCACCTCAGATTGTGCACTCTACCTTACTGAATTGCCGCTCTGATTTGATTGCTTTGAGCTTTTTTATCTGGTGTGCTAAGCAACATAATTACTTCCATACTAGCCAAACATTTGATTTCATGGTTAGTGTGGTTTCTCGTTTAACTAACCGTTACAAGACTGTTGAAACAATTCTTAGAGAATTAGAGAGCGTTGGTTTAATTATAAAGGCCCAAACTTTCTTGCTTCTGTTGAGGATTTATTGGCGTGGAGGAATGTTTTCTATGGTTTTTGAAACTTTTGAGAAAATGGGTAGTTTTGGATTTAAACCGAATACATTTGCTCGTAATGTAATAATGGATGTTTTGTTCAAGAGTGGGCATGTGGATGCAGGAATTAAGGCTTTGAAAGAGACAGAGTTTCCTAATTTCTTGAGTTTCAATATTACATTGACTAATTTATGCAAGTTGAATCATTTGGTTAATATTAAACATGTCCTGCGGAGTATGTTGAGGGAAGGGTATTATCCTAACGTTGAGACATTTGAAATGGTTTTAAATTGTTTTTGCAAAGTGGGTAGGGTGGTGGAGGCATATCAAGTGTTGGGTGTAATGATAACTCTGGGAATTTCTTTGTCTGTGCGTGCCTGGAGTATACTTATTGATGGTTTGTGTAGATTGCATCAACCTGATATTGGGTCTTATTTGTTGGAGAAGATGGTTATTTGTGGCTGTTCTCCTAATATTGTAACTTATACGACTCTATTCAAGGGATTTATGGAATCCAGAATGATTCCTAGTGCATTTGGTGTTTTAAATACCATTGAATCTAAAGGTTATGCACCTGACTTGCTTCTTTGTAATGTTCTGATAGATAGTTTTTCTAAGATTGGGAGGTATGATGATGCTCTATATCTATTTCGGGGTTTGTCAAAATGGAATCTGGTACCTGATTCTTATACTTTCAGTTCTTTGTTGTCAAACATATGCTTTTCCAGGCGGTTTAATCTTTTACCTAAGCTGGTTAGTGAAATGGTCATAGAAGTAGATATGGTGGTTTGCAACTCACTTTTAAATTACTTCTGTAAAGCTGGGTTTCCTAATCTTGCTGTGGATTTGTATAATGATATGATAGATAAGGGCTTTATACCTGATAACTATAGCTTTGTTGGATTACTTAGAGGTCTATGTGGAATAAGAAGATTGGATGACGCAGTCAATGTATACCTTGGGATAGTCATGAATAATAACGGCCTTGATGCTCATGTCCACACGGTAATGATGGATGGGCTTATGAAAGTTGGTAAATATCATACAGCCGTAAAATTGTTTAGAAGAGCTATTATAGAGAAGTATACACTAGATTCTGTATCCTACACAGTTGCCATCAGAGGGCTTCTCAATAGTGGAAGAACTGCAGAAGCTTCTGCTTTGTACAATCAGATGAAGGAGGTTGGTTTATCTCCTAATGCACGTATATATAAAGTAATGCTCCATGGTTTTTGTGAAAAAAGAGACACTAAAATGGTCAAATTGTTGCTACAAGAAGTTATTGAGGCAGGGGTTCAGCTGGAACGCAAAACATTCCTGAGGTTGACCAAGTTTTTACTCAACTTTCATATATCCTTTTCATTCTTTAACCAATTAATTAGATTGTCTAATTTGGAGATGGTGCCTGACAGGGCGATGCATGTGTTGTCGTTTGATGGACTTTCCCATAATGTAAAATTTGCTGATGCATCTCATTCATCAGTGGAAGTTTATTTGGAGCATAATCAGTTCCTTGACCCGTCTAGTTCTGATGATCTCCCTAGTGTGGCTGCTTCAATGGGTTGAGTTATAATAGTTAGGAATTCCTTTTATAAGAAAACGGACAATGGATCTTCCAATATTTGGGGCTTAGCATGCCATCAGACATCAGGCATTGTAGAGGTATATCCAGTAAATTTTTTTCTATGATTGCTTTGTTTTGAATTGTATGTTATTTTTATTTTATGTTCTCTAGTGACTTGTAATTTCATATTTTTTTCCTCTTGTTTTTCATTATATACATTTTTTGTAAGGTTAAATATCAGCTATATTGAACTGAATTATGCTATTATTACTGTGAAATGGTTGACTTTTTCACTTCTCTTCATGTTTAAATGAAACCATTCACTTGTTTCCAATATTTTATGCTCAATATAATTTTGGTATTATGGTATTATATTTACTTAGTTCAAAACAAAATATAAAAAAGGGTCATAGTGCTGGCCTCATTCACTTTCAGAGTAGGCTCACTAAGCTGAGTACAGATAGTTACTAACCTACATGCTCAGGAATGTTGAACTCCTGCAACAGTTTTAACTTTTGTGAGAGTGTTATTTAAAATGTGTGCTTGTGTTTATCACAGATTATTTGTGACTTCTGCTAAACTAAACAGTTGCAATTCCTATTCCAAAAGATCTAATTCGTAGTTTGCTATTCTTGGAACATTGACCCTGATTCATTTGCTTATTCAATTCTTTTTTCAATCTTTTGTCCTTGTTGACAGGCCTCATCTTTCCAACAACCTGGGCTAGAAATTCATTTTGCTCTCTATTTGTACTTTCATATGCTATATGCTCTGCTGTGCTCTTAGGGTTCCTCTGTTACTCTTCTATTATCCTCATCTCAAAATCTTCTCAGTGCTGCTTCTTCTCCTCCTTAGCCAAAAGACTAAGCTTGTCAACATATTAATTGACAAATATGTCAAGCTCTTTGAATACATTAAGTCCCAGTAGGTCTTCTGCCTTCAATTCCTCGACCATATTCCTATCAAGTAAACCAGAAAAAAACTGAGACATCTAGTTGCGTTTCAAACTTCTAGCTTGATTTTGACTTTTCTGGTTCATATGATTACTTTGCCAGATGGGATAGTGGAGGAAGGCAAGAGATGGTTATGGTCTACAATAGATATCACTGGGGAGAGTTTGGCCGTTAGTGCATTTATTGCTCAAGTTCATGGCGCTTGGGACATGAATGGGTTGCTTAATGGCTATTATCTGCTCAAGCTCTTTGCATTTGACAGTGATGAAGGGCATGGCACCTTTTGGCGTTCCAGTCCCAGGCTTTCCTGGTAGCACTCATTTTTAATTTCATTCCTTAATCCTTAAATTTTTTATTCAAGCTGGAAAAAACACTGAGTGAACTACATTGAATCAATTAATGGGAAACAACATGTAGGCAGGAGCCTATAATTCTCTTGAACTATCAGAGTTATCTGGGATTTCAGGTGAATGATGGCTGATATACATGTTTTTGCAGGTAAGGATAGTTTGACCTGGGAGACACATGGGCATGTAACCTGTAGGAAACTACTTATGATCATCACATGGGTTTGCTCGGCTTAAAGACTTTCTCTCTGTATTTGCAACTTTTGTTTCTTTGATCCTTGTATTTGATGTTGTAGGTTAATTTTATCTGTAATCACTTGAGACATTATTTTACCTTTGTCTCTCTAGCACAGATTGTCAATGCTACATCCAACACCACGCCAAGTCTTCTACAATTATCTTTACCAAGGTTAGGATTTTCTACTTTGTGAAAATTCAATATGATTTTATATAAATTCGTTCTTGTTTGAAGTTCATTGTCATTGTTCTCATTTCAACTCATCTTTTGTCGATTTGTCAATTTACAGGTTAGTTTCCACTAACTCGTCGATTGGGCAAGATTAAAATCTCCTTTTTTTTTTTTTTCTTTGTTTTAAGTACATATACTACAAGAATTTGTTAACTAATCCAGCAGTGGCTGCTACTAGAAAACAGAAGATTGGCTGTAATGTTTAGTTTTCAGGCTCAACTGGACATGTGATTCAGCCCAAATTTCATTAGAAACTTAGAGCTAACTAAAGCTGCTTGGCAGTGATGTAAAACCTCAGAAGAAAAACGATGTCATAATAATGCAATTAGAATTAGCATTCTGCTTACATCTTGTTTGAGAGGTGAGATAGTGAGATAAGGGAATGTGATAATTAGAGTGAAACAGAGAGGGAAGACAGAATTCATGAGAAACTAGAGAGGGAGGGGAGTAACAATCCAAATGATTCCTTTACGTTCAGATATCTCTGTTTCATACACTTCTGATCCTTGAAACATATCAAACTAGGAATAAAACTGCTTCCACAGTTTCCAAGCTGCAGCTAACAAGTTCTATTAATGGTTGATGTGCTGCTGTTTTGTGCCTTCTTTCCTACTTCGTACACTACTGCCTTATTTATTTATTTTATAAAATTGCTAGCAGCCACCACTTTATAATGCATCACCTTCTTCATTAATTAGTAGGAGAAAAGCGTGCCACCAGATATGTAGAAGCAAAATGGCACTAACACGATGAGACACTGATAAACAATAATTAGTCAAGTATCAGTCATTTTGCTTTGCATAGGAGCATCGGCTTGTAATTCTGGATGAGTAATTTATTTGTGGATTTTAATAAGATTAATTGAGTTAGGCATTTAGATTATTGTTAAATTGCTTCAATTTCCTTCAAATGCAGGTTCCTCAGCTGGGACTTTTTCTTTGAACAGAAGGATTATACTCCATATTGATGTATTGGGGTATTAAGTACTGATTTTATGTGAGCTGAGAGCATAAATATTGCGTGTACCAAAGAAAGAAGCTAGAGGAAAAATAGAGCTGACTAAGCAAAGAGAGATGACAAAGAAAAAAGGAACTGGAGACAAATGACGGTTGCTTCACAAGCCATTCATACTACTGTTGAAATCATCAAAGTTCAGAGAAACAGAACTCCACCCTCAACTACTTGACCTTACAAAAGGGTTATTTTCATGTACTTTTAACTGAGCATTACACCCATGAGTCAGTGGTAAGTCACCAGTAACGCTTTTTATTTCATTTTGCAATCGTAGGGAAAGTCTAAATGTTACTTGTAGTTACTCTCCTTGCAAGAGTATCCATTTGATGATTTGCTGTTTGATTAATGGAGGTTGATAGATTTTTACATGTTGTATAAGAATTTGGTCTTGCTTAGAGTTGCATCTGTTTATTTGGACTCGAGTCTAAGTTCAAGTTGGTTTTGAAGTCATAAGATGCATACACCTCGTAAGTTTTTTTTTTTTTTTTTTTTTTTTTTTTGTAACAGTGCGATCCCGGCTTTATAGATTCGGGAAAGTACCTTCAGATAGGGAGAAACAAACGATCTGTTTCGTGATCCGGTAAACGGGAATCCTCATCTTCGGAGAGAGTTTGCGCCAACTTGTCTATGAAAATTGGACGAATTAGTCGGATGTGAGCACTGTCCTCTACTATCGGGAAAGTCTGTGCGCCACTTCGGAGTTGTGTTCGTAGGGGGACTCGCTACGTATGCCGAAAAAAGGTGCCAATCCAAAGCATGGTTCAGAATATAGCTTGGGGAAAGGAAATCGTGCACTTACCCTTCGGGAGGGTTATTGATGGCCAGTCAGACACTTTAGAAGAAACTCCACTTCAGATGATTTAGGTTCAGAGAAGAAGACCAATTCGGCTTGGAAGAGAGAAAGTACGATCCAAAATAATATGAATCATTTCCGAGAAAGAGAAGCAGGAGAGGAGACTTCGGCCATTAGGGTTTAAAGAAATTGTGAGTATAATTATGAACTTAGGCCTAAAAAGCCTCTTTGCTCAGACTGAGTGTGGCTTCATTATATCTTAGAGCATACGTTAATATGGGTGCAGTTGTTTCAATAATGCCATGATCACAATATGATCTAGTTGTAGTATCGAGCATTATTCATCTTCGATTGAATTCCTTTTCCTGCAAACCTGTGTGTTTGACGTGTTAGGAATTTTCATTATTAAAGATAATGCCTACCGGTAGCGAATTGGCAATGAATTTGGAACATTTAACTCCTTGATGCGTGCCCAAGTTGGTGTGGTTCGCTTCCGAGCATTTCCAGCCTGCGCTGTGGGCCCGAGGGGCTCAACAATAAGAAGCCTCCTGGCTTAGACTGGGTTAGACCCGGTGGCTAATGGGTAATAAGAGATGGATTTGGCATAGCATAGGTGGGCTCCGTTGTGGGCTCCAATTTGGCCTCAGGCCAAGCTCTTTACAAACTACTGTGGCCCCAACAAGTTCCATTTTATTTCTTATAAAAGGTTTGTCTCACAGCTACTCACAAAACTAAACTTTATCTATACCTTTCTGGCCTCTTATCTACTAACAATTATTTTCTCTCTCACTCTTTACCTAACATTTTCCCTCTTTGCAGGCCCACTGAAATTATGGTTGCTGGAACACAGCGATCCCGCTGGAGCGTATTGGCTTCCTGGGTGGGTATTGCACCCTAATATCGATCGCATCTGTCACTGCACTTTCTGTCCCACTGTAGTAAATGAGCCTCAAATGGAAGGATGAATGAATTGAAAGAAAAAGTTCAATGGGCTTGGCCACACACGGCACAACGAACATCAAAATTTGTGCCTGAAATCTTTTAGGACCCCAATCCAACCGTTCATAAGTATTGTGGGGAGACCTGTGATGGAATGACTAACTATGAGTACAGAATCAAGCGATAATTACCTTAGTTTGATTTTACAATCTTAGTTAATTCACAATAGTTCGAGATGATCAAAATGGGGGGGAGTCGCAGTTAGTTTTGCTTAAGAATAGTATTGGCATCAGTAGGGATTGTCTGATCTGGGCTTGATCAATTGTAATATCTGGATGTGAGTTTTGAGGACATTTCTGGTCTAATTATGTATGTGCTGTTGGGCACTTTGTTAAGTAAGTGCCGCCCGCTGTGGTGTAAGCATGTGGCCACAGTTGGTTTATTGGCGGGTGTGGCCCATTCTTATTTCTGCTAATATTTGAGTTAAAAGGCTTAAGGCATTATCCTACCTGAAATTACTTAGTATATAATATGTTTGGGGCGTTTCACACTCTCTCTGCTCCTACACTAAGACCGCCGCAGTTTGTCCCGAGAGTGCGCGTCGCAGACTTCTTTTGGCTTTGAGAAAAACATGAGTGGCTTGTGTCCAGTTGCCTTGCAGATACACTATTGTTTTTGTGATTTTATCATCCCTTTGGAAGCCGATTTTGATTATCCATACCTGCCATCCATACTAAAACACACATGTGCCTTTCCATACTTCTATTAGTAGCATATGGTAGCATACAGTATGTTGGAGATAGTTATCTTTTAAACTTATAGGCGATGTTGAATGTTTGGGTAGGAAGGCGTTGCCGGGAGAGAACATATCCGAGCCGAGACTAAATACTCCAGGCCACGTTTGCTACTGGTGAGAATCGCTTAAAATTGCTTTACAATTATCTAAAAGGTCAAAAACATGATGGATACAACAGCACTAGATGAAATATAATAGTAGCCTTGAACCAAGTCGAGGAGGAAGATGAACCAGGAAGAGATAACGGAATATGGAACTGTGGATTGGAGCGAATTAATTTTGGAACGGTTTGCTTAAGAATCTGACATATGTTCTCTATGTGGCTCTATACTAGAACTTTTACCAATGTTTGGAAATGCTATCTAAGTTAGTATGAACATGTAAAACTACCAACTTGTACACCCTGTTTTTCGGGCTACCTTACCAGGCATATTCCGAAAAGCTGCACCTTGAAGGAGCAATCGCGTTTTAACAAGACCTAGGGGCTTCACTTTTTCACTATATGTATATCCTCTTTATACACCCTGGTGTACCAACTTCAATTTTGCGTTAACCAGAGCAACTTACACAGTCCCTCAATTTTTAGGAAAGTCAGGGTGCGTCAAGGACGCCATTCGCCAGAGCGCCAGTCACACGAATAGTGGGCATTTTTTTTTGCTTTGCCTATCTGCATCAGCCTTTTTGCAATCGGTAGGAAAAGTCTTAAATGGTTACTCCAATTTAAGTAGGTCATCCAACCTCTATCTCTGCCAAATATAGTCCTCATTTGAAAAGAGGGTGTACGAGAGAAGTAGGGGATCCATTCTTTTTTTTGAATGGAGGATAAGGGGATTGACGCTGTTCTTTTGATTGATAATTTGTGAGAAAGAATGAAACTAGATTTTCTCTCAACACACTGTATAGAGTTATAAAATAAAGAATCTTATTGAAGTCAGGCTAACCGAGTTGCATTCTGTGTTTATTGTTGGGACTCTGAGTTCATTATCAACGTTTCAATGTGAATTGTGTTTTTATGAAAGTCATAAGGAGATTGTGCTTATTACAATCTTCGGTAATGTTAATTTTCATTTATTATTTTTATTAATTTTTTTCCTTTTTGGCAAAATGCAGCGACATAATAGTCTGTCTACTATCCTAAACTATTTTGGCTATTTGAGAAAACTAGCTAATTCTTGCTAATTCCTTGAATCTTCGCAATAATTTTGGAATCAAAGAACCAAAGTGTGTCAATGTGGTATTTCACACCATCACAGAAATCCATTATATTTGTTGAAATGGAAGGCTATAATAAAATCAAATTAAGAAATCAAAAAAATATTTTTAGGGTGAGTAGATAACTCTTTGAAGAAAAAAGGTCCTCATTGTAGGCGACGCCGATCTTTTGATCTTATGCACCTTTTTTCCGGGTGATTTAAAATCGTTCTTTGGGTCTGGTAAAATATGAGAGAGAAACCTATGATAAACCCACCATGGTTTTTTTTCCTGCACCTCTAAATGGTGCGAGGGCTAACAGTAAGTGTGGGCGCATGCGTCTAACTTACTTGTTGGCGTCCCACTCACTTTCCCTGTTGAGCTCATTGCCCATCAATGTGCTTAGACTTCCTGTTTCTTTTTTTAATTAATTGGTTCTCGATTCGGTGAATCCAATGGCGAAAGCTCTAAACCCTTAAAAAGATTTTGATGGATGATGTGTAATTTAAAGTTCATATTCCAATGAATTGATACAGAAGAGTAACAACTAAACAGAATTGCTGGAAGCGGTAGGTAGATTGACATGTCGTGATTGATATTCTAGTGTATCTATGTCGCTAATGGAATAGAGTATAGGATATGAAATAAAATTTTCAATTGTATTAAAATCATGTGAATTCTTAGTTAAGAGATCGCTCATATTGTTAAAAATCCTTTAAATTTAAATGTCATTTTTAATTTATTGTCCCTTTACATCCTCAAGTTTCTTTTTAGTTAACATGAAATTATCATTAAATTCTTGAGTTTTTTTAAAATAATTTTTTAGAGAGGGCATACCATGGAGTAATTTACAAAAGTAAGTTTGGACGACGTGCTTTTCACTAGCGCAGGGCTGATAAAGAAATTGGTCTAAAAGTTTTAGTCCTCTAACTATAACAATGAACACATTCCCCCCTAAATATTTTATAATACCATAAAACTCCTTGGACCTCAATTTACTCTTAAGTTTTAACACAGGAATTAGTTAAATTGTCGCCAAAAGGAATTGAAGCTTGTATTATTAATGAGGAGGAAAATTGGGATATAATGATGATTCCTTATCTTTAGGGTGAGGTGACGAAAATTCAAATAAAATACTCTTTCTTATTTAATAAGGGTATAGAAGGAGAATATCGGTGTTAAATTTCACCGTATGGATTATTAAATGAAAGTCTAATAAAAAAAAAACACATTAATTTTCTTTTATATAAGAGATTAAATAAAATCAAAGCCTCGATTTCGGTTCACAGAAATTGATATTTAACTTATTCAATTCGTGTGATATTTTTTTTTGGAAAAAATTATAATAAGTCCGACATACCTCTTGTTCTAGTCAGTAGTCCTTCTTTGCTTGTGAGGATTCGGTAAATGACCTTAAGGAGATCTTCTAGTTTGGGTATTTATTGAGTTTTTTTGTGTATTAAGAGAAAATAAAAACAAAAGTAATATTGTACTTTTTGGAGAAAAAAAGTTGTCATAATATGCATAAATTCAAACAATCTTAATAATGGTTTATTAAACTTGAAGGTTGGGAGGTATTCTATTATATCTATTTTTCTGCAATCTTATTATAGAAAGTAAGTCCAATAGTCACAAGCCCATACAAATCATCTTTCCATTAAGAATCTCAATTCTAACCACAAAAAAGTACCTAAATGGGTAGATTTGTATTTTGGGGGCTCGCGGTCCTCA